CACGAGTCTAAGCGTATTGTTTCAAAGAACGCTCCAGGCGGAGCTAGCGCACGGTCGCGATATTTGAACACTTCAAAATTTCGAAATAGAACGAAAGAAAAATGTTCATTATGCTTTTTGCAAAGTCACCGCGTATGATTTAAGAAAAAGAAAACATTCAAATCACTTTTATACTGTACAATTAAGAGAATAGTAAGTTAACTTTGTTTTCTACATTGATATCTTCACCGTAGCGGTATGCCGCCGACTGACTTCGACAAAAGCATTTTTCTTTTTTTGCTTGAATAAGCTGAATGTTCCCATTAAAAAAAGCAAGACGCAAAGAAGCAACTGGAATGAAAATTGGATTCTGATAGATAGCTTCTATTCATTACAGATAGCTTCTATCCTAAAAGAAAAGACTTGTCGATGCAGCTTAAACGGGAATGGCTGATATTGGTCAAACAAGTGTATTTCGGCTTTTATTCGCTGTACACACTTTTTTGTATAATGTTTCGCCCTAAAGCGGTTCGTTTTGTTATATAAAACTTCTACTGAAAAAAAAAATAAGTGCCGATACAACTGGATTGTGGATGGCTGATAGAGTCAAAACAAGCGTACGTCAGCTTTTATTTGCTATATACACATCTTTTCTATATAAGGTATCTTTTTAAAGAGATTCTATTCGTTATAGGGAGCGTCCTCTGCACAAAATAATATGCCGATGCAACTCGAGCGGGAATGGCTCATACCAGTAATACAAGCGTACTTCAGCATTTGTTCGCTATAACACATATTCACTCTAGGAGAATTCGTTACAGAGAGCTTCTACTGAAGCAAGGCGCCAATACAAATCGAATGGGAATGACTGATAGAACACGCCTACGTCTGCTATCCACACCTTCGTCATGCGAGCTTTTGCTATAGAGGCCGGTATATTCGTTATAGAAAGCTGAATTGTAAAAAAAAAGATAACGAGCCGCTTTCGAGGTTGCTCTTGTACAACATCTACATAACTTCGGTTAAAAGATTTCGTTATAGATGGCAGTATTGGGTACAAAAAGCTTTATTATACAAAAAAAAATGCGCAAATGTCAATAAATAAAAAAAAATCATTTGTTGATGTGATGTGAGTAGGAATGGCGATTGCCCGACCCTTCCCAGATGTCCCCATGACTTGCAAGTTGGACCAGTTCCGTTGCGTCGACAACGGCGAGTGCATTCCCGCCAAATGGAAGTGCGATGGCAACGAAGACTGCACCGACGGATCTGACGAGAGCAAATGCAGTGAGACTCCATTTTCGCCCACGCGAGTTCCTTTCTTATTTTTATTATTATTATTTTCCCCCATTGACGACGAGGTCATCTACACTGCCCGCACAAGTTCGACCGGCAATGGGGTGTGTTGTTAGAGTGACGCGGTGGGGCACCATATTGATCTGACACCGCCGCGAGTGCTTCCACAGAAACTTACTTGTCCTTCTTTGCTCCCGCGTTCTTGCCGTCTCTCTCGCACCTTGAGCTCTAGGGCACTCATCTCTCGCCTTACTATGGACCGGAAATGACGTTACGAGCCATCGACGCCAATATAATGCCGCGTGAGTGCCACGTGACTTCCGGAAGGGTCACAGCGACGCGCGGGCACTTTAATCACGTGACATGTGCACAGCTCCGGGTTCGCTGGGATGGCCTGCGTTGTCCACTGCAGTCCACCATAAAATAAAGCAAAAGGTAGCCCTTACGTTTTCTTTTTCTTTTTTTTTTTGTTTGTTGCGTGGATTTAGGTCCTCCTCAGAGTTAGTCGAGTAGGACTGCTGGACAAGGGTTGAACCTTCTTTATCTTTTTCCTTTCCGTTTTATATCCGTTTTATTTTTGTTTGTTTTTTAACGATGAGTAAAATATCTGGATGAGTGGGGTGACTTAGTTGACTGGAGATTTCGAAGGGAAAGATGAATCGATACCTGTATTGATTTAGAATTCTTAGGAATGGAGAGAGTTCGACATCTTGGGTGGTCGGAGCTTTTTCTTTGCTTCGACCCTGAATTCCGTCTGACCGTTAAGTGCGGGGAGACGACTCGTAGCCTTATGCAGCCGGCTACATTCTAAGTTTTTTTTTTTTTTTTTTTTTTGGGGGGGGGGGGGGGAGGTTTTGTGCAAAAACTTTTCGCTGAAGTTCTTGAGAGGATAACTTGATACTCCTTACATGGGAAGCGAGCTGGTGGCTGTTCTTTTTGCGAGAAGCACGAGTTGTAAGGACACACAAAATTCAGTACTTTTTACAGGATACCGTTTCTGCCAGTAGGAGAGAGTGTAAATGGTCAGGAATAAGTTAAAAGTATTTAGAGGACCAATTATCAGTCAGTAATCGGTTCGACTTGTACGTGGAGTGCAACTTCGTCTGCTTCTTGCACAGGGATAGTGATGATGTCAGAACGTCGAGCTTTTATTGGCTGATTGAAAAACAAAATAGTGGGTAGACCTCAATGCATCTACCTACTATCCTTTCAATCAGTCAGTCAGAGCCGTGCGTCTTTCCGACGCCACCGCGACCCCTGCTCAAAAGAAAAAAAAAAAACGGACTTACTCTCCGTATAGCCAAAATGTGCACACGTTAGAGTTTCGTATATATTGGCCAAAAAGTAATAAATAACACCTTTAGCGCCTCACGATGCTCTGCCAATCTAACCTAAGAAATTGATTCGTTTTTTTCTTTCATTGTCGTGAGCTCGATACTTGAAACTAAGACATTCCCATGTAAGGCAATTCTAGACATAGATAGTGCCATCGCGAAGTATTGCATCTTATTAAGCGGAGCAGCATGAGACCAAACCACTTAGAAGGCCTATTCTCTCCCCCTAACGTCATCACGGGATAGATGGATGGATAGATGAGGACCCTCTTTTAATCGGGCGGCGTCATGCATCATCTAGCCAGTATTTTTTTTTTCTTACTAATAAATTTACGTCGCGGCGCCTAGATTGCGTCAGCCATTGGGTTATTGTATTGTACACTAAGGGTTCAGCTGGCGATAGTGTGCTGCAAGTTGAAGCAGACAGCAATCAGTCGAAGATGGAGTCGGGTAATGCATTTCTACGATGGAAAGAGGGTGCGTTTGTTTTCTCTGCGTATGGTTATAAGGGCAAATATTAGGAATAATTATAACTTAGTAAATAGTTTGAAACATCTCTCAATTGGGTAAATGAAAATATTGGTAAGTCACAGTGTTTTTTTGTCAAATTCATGTAATTAAACACAGTGCTAAAACAGCCTCATACGTATACGTTTGTGTGGACTGTCGGCAACTATTAGCGCAAACACGACTCCAGCATTTTTGTGCATGGTGGATTGGGCACCAAGGGGTCGAAGGACACGTGAAAAACCCAGAGAGACGGCAAGAACTACGCGGTAACACTTGATCAGTAAGTCCCCGGGCATGTAGACGACCGAAATAAAGTGAAGGTCAAGTTAATATAGCCCGATTTGCAATGAGTAAATATTGCTTTCTCCTCTCTGCTCGTGCATATGTGCGAAGATGCTTGTTCTGCATTCAAAACGTCACCCGCGCACTTGAAATATTTGAAAATAGAGAGAAGCCAAAAACCCGGTGCTCGATAAAAGCTGCCCAGCGTAGTAAATAATAAAAAGAGAAAGCACTCATAGTCATGATATGCTTTATTCTTTACGTTTCGAGTGTTTTTAAACGCTCATAAAGATGCACGGCACGGGGTCACTTTCGTATGTGAGAGGGCCATTATTGCAGCAATAAATAAACGTCACCGGAATGCTGACGAACCTTGAACACACTCTACATTTCTTTCGATTGTTATTTTGCTTTGAATAGTCGCTCGCGTTTACACGAGCTTCTGTGGAACGCAGGTTGGAACCTGAAATATAGCGAAGTTAATATCGTTCACTGGTAAACAAAAAAATGCATCAACTAAAGAAATTACATTTCCAGAATATTAATAAAGGTACGTACTATTCGGTACAACGCAAATAACAAAAGTGTTCATGCTATTTTCCGACGAAGAGAGAAAATGCACGCGCGGTTTCTTTTAGGAATGCACAGGACCACCGCACTGCTTCAATTTGCCTCCCGGAAGTCGCAGACACTAGCGCCACCTGAACCTCTAGCGTACATTATAATAACTCTATGGTTTGCCGCTTAGGATGCGTCGGAGATCCACTAACAATGATGCAGGTCTTTGTCTTCTAGCTGGTATTGATAAGACAGCGTTTTTAATATGACCAGCCCGCTCCACGCACACGAGAGTAGCTCTCACGAGCCTGTCGAAACCACGAAAATCTTCAAACGTGCCGCTTTGTATTTTTTAAACCTATACCAACAATTTTTTGTACTTTGTTTCAAAGAGAAAATATGCGAGCCCGCCGAGTTCTACACGACCTGCGGTGACGGAGTGACCTGCATCCCTCGGAACTCTCTCTGCGATGGCGTGGTCGACTGTCGCGACGGGCACGACGAGGCCAACTGCTGTAGGTTTTTTTTCCCTAACAAGCGACACTCCATTTTAAAATCCTTGACGCGCGATCTCTTGGACGCGACCGTTGAAAACGGGCCGCTAAAACGCGCGATGCTGCGGCAACGCGTTTCAAACGGCGCGCCTTCAGACGCGCGTCGCTTAAACCCCACCGTATTTGAATCGCTGCTTCGGTACTTCGCCTCCTCAGTGTTTTCGACACACCTGACACCACTTAGTGTGTACAAAAAAAACTATTTTAAATGTTTTTTACTTCCGTTGCGTTCAAGCGTGTTCACGTGTCGGCGGGTATCAGCTCGACGCAAAGTGCCCGCTGCTTCTGGTTATCTCCTCCTCCCCTCCAAGCAAGTAATGAAGACCGTCTGGCCTCTGGCTATGACATACACGTTAGAACTTCCTCTTTCGCAAGCCTTCTCTTTCTTCTTTTCTCCTGCTGCTTCAAGAGAAAAGAGATCCGCGTTCTTCTCAACTGACACATAAACTACGCCACGCCAAACGCTCAGTCGCCGTCCGAATGTCGCTCTAGCAGTTGGTACCAGACTCCAGTGTTTCGGAACTTCCTGTTATCTGATCATCTCCATCTTTTCCTGGGTTCCATTTTCTCAATAAAAGCTCCGTAAATCGTTTAGAACGTCTGAATCGGCTAACGGTAAGTCATGAAACATTAGCATCTCGTCCCAACCACTAGCACTCCGTTTTGCCCAAAGACCGAACGTTCGGCAACGTCGGAAGCTCATTTATTTTGCAGTCGGAAAAACAATTTTTTTTTCTCTTAATGGCATCTGTTATATCTATGGGTATGTCGAGTTTCCCGGTTAGTCTTACCACTATTTTTCCTCTCTTCGTTTCTTTCCGTTTCTTTTTTTTTTTTTTTTTTTTTTACTGTCTCCAGCCAAAGCGGGTCCGTCCTCTCTACTGAATGCACTCGGTAAGTACAACACCGGCGAGAGCTCCCGGAAACACTTTGCGTGTAACTTTAGGACCGTCCACGGTCGACTGACGTTCCGATCACATTAGGAACAAGCTACCAACGGCCGTGCTTCGGCTAGTAGACGGTGCATTAGGCGTAGTGCTGAGAACAGCAAGCTCTACTAGATTACATGATTCGTTTTCGGTCGTCTGTCTTACCTTGCGTCTGAAGCTTAATAGTAACCCCATAACGCATAGTTTGGCATAAACTAATGCCTGTAAAGGGCCGACGTTACTCGTTTTCCTCGTTTGTCTGAACCTTTTCACTCCTACGCCTTACCTTTCCCCAGACTCTGATTTTATTTCCCTTTCTTGAACCCTTGATTCCCCATTTCCCTGGCATCGAAGTAAATATAAGCTCACCTAAAAACTGAAAGCTTAAAGGGACACTGACAATTTATTTACGTTCGCCAAGGTTTTTAATTATAGATGACATATGACAGCCCAACTATCCAGAACAGAATTGGCGGCACGAAATTCGTTTTCTTTCCGACCGAAAATTGTCGATCGAGAACTGGCCGGTTCGAGTCGCGCTCAGTCTCTTCTCCTGGTCACGTGCCGTTTTCTATGGTTTAGGCAAAACCACCATAGATAATCAAAGTCGCGCGTCATTGAAGGCACACACCCAATACTAAAGATAGACAAACAATATGATACTCAGATTTGTAATGGCTCGTAAAAAATAACTGTGTTGATTGAATAAAAAAAGTTGCATAGCCACGGGATTTTTGGTAACTTTCTTCGTCCTCTGTATTTCACCTTCGTCCACTGTTCGGTTTTGAGCAGTTCCGTTTTTTATTATTAAAAATTTACGTCATGCTGTGACGCTGGTAGCCACGCGCAACACAAAGCACACATATCCCGGTGACTTGTGGCGTGAGCAGACGTGAGCTTTCGCAGCATAACGTAACATAAGAAAACGGGATTGTTTGAGCCAGACTTTACGCTATGTTAGGTTACGAAAGCTTACGTCTGCGTACGCCACAACTCACCGGGGACATATCTGCTTCCTATTCGCGGCGAGAAGTTTGGGTATCGCCACCTGGTGGAATTTTTTCACAACACAGGGTGAGGACACTTCAACCTCCTCTGCTGGTGCAAGCGCGTGCAATGCCAAGATACTATGCACTATGAAAATTAAAACATAACCGCGTGGATATAGCACGCGTGCTACCCATAGTGGAGAGAACAAAAGCGGCCCTAGCGAGCTTCTCACGGCTAAGAAGCCGTGGTTTCCAGGTCAGGAAGATGGTCTGGCGCGTGACATTCGAGGCACAAATGTTTTGGTGACTTACACTTAACGTAGAAAAGAGACAAACAAAAAAATTAAGAAAACGGCGCTCTGTGAACCCGCATTATAAGCTTTCCTGGCGTATGTGAGTTTTCGCTGTAAACTGTTCGAAGGATGTAAGGCATAGTGTCTACCGTAACTATAGGGGCAGATTTGGAGTTGCAGCCTTGCAAAGGGTCGATTATGTAAAACAGTATTTCTTTTTTAACCAACAATATAGTCACTGACGGAGTGAGAACCACCGGACGTGTCTTTCGGATGCCAAGCCTCTAGTAGGCAGTCCTTGCCTTTCGTCGTGCTTTGCCTGCGGAAGCACGCCCGAAGCTCACGAGGCGCTTAAGTTTTAATAAAGGTGTACGAAGCTCCCGCTAGAGGCGCGGGAGAACTAAAAAGCCTTCTTTCAGTTTTTATTCTGTCAACGACTACAGAAAATTAAGGTTCGAACGAGGTCGGAACAATTCCCCTTCTCAAATGTCGAAACGTTTTGTATTTAGATTCCCACATGTATTCACAATGTTATACTCCGTTCCACCTTCAGTCTGAGCGCAGTGGACGCCACAGGCCATCCCAGCCGATCCAGCGCCGGCAGAAAATCGCGTGACTTGCCGGTTGGGCAGAGGGACACAGGGAGCTCAAGGTCACATGACACTCTCCTCACGCTGGATTGGCTGGGATTACTCCTAGCGTCCGCTGCGCTCGGACTGAAGGTGAAACGGTGTATAGTTTTTCTTCGATGACGCTTGCCGAAATTGGCCCGCATGAGCTAAACGCATACTTCGTTTTGAAAGTGAAGAAAAACCTCCACCCCCAAATACCCAACTAATTCTTCAGTTATAAAAAAAAAGGAAAGAAAAGAACAGCGCAATTTCTGTTAGACGGTGGGAACACGATCGCAGCTTAAGGTCGGTTCACACAGTTGCGTGAATTCGATCTAGTGCGACTGCAACGGCGTGCGACGTTAATCCTTTTACGGGTTGCTATGGCAAAAGCTGCGTCGGCTCGAACAAAATGGGGTAAGAACCGGCTGTTGCCACAGAAACCCGTACTTGCACTCGATCAGACTCGACGCAAGTGTGCAAGTCGACCTTTTAGAAAGGCAAGACCTGAGACGCGTCGAGGGTCTTCGGTTCCAGGAGATCTACGACGTATACGATCCTATCCCAGGATCACGAAGACCTTGAGTGCGTGTTTGCGGGAAACTGGATTTAACCGCGAGTTACCGTTCTTCCTTGATTTCAGGAGGATCAGGAGGATCTGGCAACGCTGGGCTGAGTAAGAGGCTTTGTCTACCCTATACGCATTTTGTTGTTTCTACTACACGAGCACACAAAAAAAGAAGAAAAACATAGAAACATATAAACCCTCACTTGTTCCAAAGCAGTGGAAGCGTACCTTGTGTGGCCTAGCTTTAGTCGGTGTACGTGTCTGACTCGCTACCGAAGGGTCGTGGGTTCGAATACCGCCTAAAATTCTTCAAAGAGCTTTAAGGCAAATAAATTGCTTTATAGAGGGAAATCAATTGAGACATGCGGCGACCTTCAATTCGCATTACGTGTCGTGTTTTTTAATCACTTTCATTCCACGCGTCACATCAAGTTTTGCGTGAGCGTTCTGGGTTGTTCGAAACTCCCGCGCGAGGTCATGTGGGTTTGACGTCGCCACCCTATCGGCCAATCAAGATTTTTGCGGCACGCCGCCGACGCCGTATTTTCTGCTACACGAGCTTCTTAGGGCTGAAGCGTTAAAACGGAATTCCGGTATCTTGCCGATCGGAGGCGTTGTACGCACTGCTCCATACAGATTGTGATCACTGGCAAATTCAGAAAAGAAGGGCGTGGCTGAACGACGTTCACGCTTCATGATTCGTGATTGGTTGTTGGGCGTTTTTATCGACGAATGCTGTAATCTTATTGGTTGGGGAGCTATAATGAGATGCTCGGACACGCCCTTCGTTCCTCGAGCTATCAGCGGACGGTACACACCTTTCTTCTCCACCACCATTCAAGATGTGGCAGGGGTGCAAAAGGTGACGTCACGTGACGCCACCCTTTCCTGGCTAAATTTTGCGGGGAAAATTGCCACGGCACGCGAGAGCGTCACGTGACGAAATGACGTTGCGTGACATAGTGTCAGTGGACGCAGTGACATGGTGTCACTTAACACGGTGATGTAACGTGGCATAATAGGAAGTTTTCGTAGACCGCGTTTCCCCCTCCGCTAAGCCCTCCGCAACGAGGAAGCCGCTACTGCGCCTGCGCGCCGATAGCCTTGACTGTAGAGTTCCGGGTATCGTAGCAAGTTGCGAAGGGCGTTGCGGGACGGCGAAAACGATCTACGAAAACTCTTTGAAGTTTCTGTAGACTATTTTCCCACTTCCTCTACGCTTCCCAGCAACAAAGAAGTCACTATAGCGCAAGCGCGGCGCTGATCTTGCTTGCAGAGTTCCGCATCTTTAGAGGGTGGCGGAGTACGTTGCGGGACACTGGAAACCATCTACGAAAACTCCTTGAGAACTGTCATTGCTAAAAGAGAAAACAAACGCACCAATGTCCTATGTTTTTTTGTTTTTTTTGTCACACTTGATTTTTTGTACAGCGTTTCCGGACTGCCCCGAAGACTACTTTAAGTGCAAGACCGGCGGGGCGTGCATCATGAACCTGCTCGTGTGCGACGACGAGGAGGACTGCAAGGACGGCTCCGACGAGCAGAACTGCGGTAAGTCAAAAACCCACCTAGAAGAATCGAAGCCCGCACCCTAGAATTTCGACGTCCTCACCACAGTGAGATCGAGCGAAGACGCAGATTGGATACGAGTGGCGCGTCAGTGCTCGGCCGGGCCTCGTGTCCAATAAACGCGTCCGAGGACGCCCGGCGTCGGGCTCTTGTGCGGGATTGGATCAGGCGGCGCTATGGCATACCCACAAATACAACGAGCGCCGTGAGGACGCACTTTTGGCGCTTCTATGATGGACCTAGAGGATAGATAGCCTTGGGTGAGGTCGGACAGAAAGTACAACACGACATTAAGCTTTCTTTGTTATTTATGTTGTATTCTTTTGTTCCCGGGGTGTTTCTCAGGAGTTTACTTTTTTTCCTGTCTTCTTTCTCTTTCTCTATACAGAATGTTTCCCAAAAGGTGGGCAAATTCGATATTGCGAAAATACGCGTCGCAACAAACAAAGGCTTGTGTCGTTTTTGGTCCTGGGTCAGGGGCCTATAGGTAAATTAGTGAAGTCCGGGATGATTAGTTTGTTAATTATTTTTGCGTGATTAATTTTTTTAATATTGTGTTTAAGGGCATGGTTTCAATTAGAAAAATGCTCAGCACCACCAAAAAACGCCAAATCAACAAATTTCAGAATGAAAGAAGGCACGCGAAGCCTATTACGGCTCTCTGAAAAAAGCCGTAATATGCTTCGCGTGCCTTCTACTGGAATTTGTTGACTTAGCTTTTTTTGATGATGCTGAGCAATTTTCTAATTGAAACCATGCCCTTGAACACAAACGCAAAAATAATTAACAACTTAATTATCCCGGACTTTAATAATTTTTCTAAATAGGCCTCTGGCCCAGGACAAAACAACACAAGCTTTTGTTTTTTGTTGCGACGCGTACTTTTCGCAATATCAAATGTGTCCTCCTTTCATGAAACACCCCGTATATATATATATATATACATATATATATATATATATATATATATATATATATATATATATATATATATATATATATATATATATATATATATATATATATATATACTGTAAACTACTTATTTTTCACGGGCTCAATATTTCACGATTTAGCTAACAGTAGTTTGATAAGTCGCGGGTTCTAATTTTCGCGACGCGGTGGAATCTCAATATATATTCCAATCTGTTTACATTCTACCGGAATTGTTAGCGGGATCTATTTTTCGCGATTTGTAGGCGATTCCCGAAATCGCCGAAAATTAAGTCCTCGCGAAAATTAAGTCGTGCACGCGCACACACACACACACGCACACACACACACACACACTCACTCACACACACACACACGCACACACTCACACGCACGCGCACGCACGCACGCACGCACGCACGCACGCACGCACGCACGCACGCACGCACGATGAGGAAGTTCAACGGGCCAGTTGGACGTGAAACGGAAGTCGAGATGTTCCCGGAAGGGCCTTTAATGCACCAACGTTTGAAACGGGGACCGCTTTTCTTCAGGGTGAAATGGAATGTAAAATGTCCTCTTCTTGTTGACGTTCGTGTGGAAGAATAAGAGTGGCTATGAAGGTCACCACCAATATTCCGAACAGGAGCAACGGAATGATCTGTATATCATATAAAATGGTAATTATAAACGATAATAATTAGAATAATTAAAACTAAATAAACTGATTTGCGCCAAAGGCGCCTGCCATCGTGGAACTCATTCGACGTCTCTCATGAACATCCTCGCGAGCGTGCGTCCTGTGGCAATCCTTCCGCTGCGTTAAATTACTGGGCGCGTAAGCAGAAGTAAAATATGACATAAATACTTCATTAAACACGGCCACAGCACTCTTGCGCCGTCTAGATCTCCGCTCTCAGAGCGGCGTTAATCGCGAACACATCCTCATTGCTACTTCTGTGTGCGCTCTGGTTGGTCGGGGGTGATTCTGCTTATGAACTGTGACAAAAACTGGTAAACATTTAAACTAAATCAAATAAATTGATTTGGTGTTAATTATTTTAATTAATATTGCTTATAATTACTGTTTTCAATGATTTACTGATTACTTTGTTGCTCCTCTTTTGAATATTTGTAATACTCTTCATAGTCGCTCTTCCTCTTCCACACGAACGTCAACAAGAACAGGACATTTTACACGCCATCAAATGCCCTTCCTGAAAGTTCTCATATATATATATAAAGTAAAGCCTGTAACAAATATTCGATCATTTGAACTGCCACCTTTCGGGTTCAGATAAAAAAAGATCTGCGTTTATCGATGCTTGTGTTAAAAAAAAAAAAAAAGGCATGGGCGTAACATTTACAAGCTTCATGAAAACACGCGTGATTTACATATTTCGGAAAACTTCCCGGCGCCAATAAGAGAAGTTTTAAGGGATAAGCAAGCGTGACTCCCTTAGAGGGAAGACATTCGCAGACACTTCAGGGGACGAGCTGCATCAACAGCTTCTAAAAAATCAAAGCCTGCGCGCCCGATCCGTGAGGTCGTGGTACCTAGACCTAGTCCATTGCGCGCGGAAAAGCAAAGTAGCTGACGGAGCTTGGCCGTGTCGGCGCACTCGCTAGGCGGCGCGTAGCTTTGAATGGAAGTGCCTGTACGATTCTTATGTATGCGTCCTTAGTTTTGTGTGCGTTACTAAAAAAAAAAAACGTAACCGACTAAAATTACAATTACTTTATTAAAATTGTAACTGAGAACAATTAACAATTACTGCGTAAAAAAAGTAATTGAAAAATTGCAATTAAAAAAATAAAAGCTAGGAATAAGCTTGTAACTGCAGCAGTTACTACATTTTTCTGACCTTACTACATTTCACTATATACTACCTCAATCGCGCGATAGGTAGTAAAGGGTTAGTAAATGCAGCAATTACTACATTTTTGTGAGCCTTCCTACCTTTTTACTAGCTATTTACTACCCGAAACGCGCGGCCGAGATGGCGGCATCTGCTGCATTGCCGATGGCCAGCGTCAGCGACGCATTTGCTGTCTCGGAACGCAAGGGGGGGATGTACCCGCACACAATCGTAGCATCAAATATTGTAGGAGGGGGCATGGAACTCAACTCAGTCTTTTGAACTCTTCCGAAAACACATAATTGATAACTTGTAATTGATTACTGAACAATAGTAATTGAATTACAACAAACTCTACGGCAGAAAAGTAAGTAAAGCGTTAACGAGTTACAATAAAGTGTAATTGATTACAAGTAATCAGTTACTTGGAACTCCTTATGTAAGAAGTCTGCGTTTGTGACGAGGGCCTGATGAGTAGAGTTGCAGTTTTTATACTTGGGAGTCCAAAGAAAAACTCTGGCTTCTAGGCTCTGTTCATTGAATAACCTTTGAGTGAAGACAATCAAAATAAGCAGTATTGCCGCGGAGGTATAATCGAACGTTATAAAACCCCCACAAAGTACTGATCTGCAATCACAAATATTTTGATTTGAAAAAGCTTTGATAATCTATCGAGTCTTGTGATATCAATAAAGCAGGTGTCACACTACTTATACTTCATTAACAAAAAAACTTTACAAAGAGATCCAAACACGATTCACCGCGAGCTCCGCGCTTCAAATGCCGTAAGGCAATGAGTTTAAGGAAAAACTTGGGCATGCGGTGTTCGAACCACGGATATCGCGATAACTGATGTCTGGCAGACTGTCTTCTGTATGATGTAGAAGCAGTGTAACCCTGGCGTAGAGGCGGGGTCCCACAGCTTATACATCCCACAAACGACAGTCTGCAAACACGAGTCACAGCACTATCCCTGGTTCGAATACCGCATGCCCCTTCCCCTTGAACTCATTGTTTTACGGCATTCGAAGCACGGATCTCGCGGTGAATCGCGTTCAAATCTGTATGCGTATACTGTCTTTTGTGTGATGTATAAGCAATGCGACTCCGGCTTAAGGGTTTCTTGATAGTAAAAGGGTTCTGGAAGTGTTGTACACATACATAAAAAAATATACTTAAACACCAGCACTTCGATTCCAAGTTTGAAATAAAATAAGTCAATATTATTGTGACGGCACAACATAATAATGACATCTGTATAAATACTATGTTACGTAAAGTCAAGAAAAGGTATGCTGAAGAGTTTTCTTGTTTTCTTTTTTTTCCGCAGATATTAAGCGGGTTTGATTCCTTTGCACAAGTAATCTTGCGTAACACAGTATTAATATGAAAGTGCAGCAGTAAAAGTAAGCAGCGAATCCACTTGACACACCTTTGAAGAGCTCAAAACTTGAAAGCCTTCCTGGATTTTTGCCCTAATGCACCACTCGCATCGGTGCTCGACGTAAAACAAAACAAAACAAAAAAATAATAATAATAAACTTTGGACTTTTTAGCACATTTTCTCAACGCCCCAGAACGCGAAACTTATAAGGTATTGACCCTCGAATTTGCTGTGAACAGTCTTGTCGACGAGAGACAAAGTAAAAACCAAGGCTCGTGTCTCGTCTCCGCAAGTGACCATCTAAGTTTAAGAAATCCACTCCCTCGTGTTTATTTTTTCTCGGAGCCGTCTCGCGTGTAATAAAGTTGCCTCGTCACGTCTTACAACCTTCTTTTCATCTTTGAATATATCTATACTTCGTTTCAGCTTAAGTCCAGACGCAGCCGACGCTACCAGCCAATGGGACCAATGAAACAGCGTCAAAAGCGCAAGTTACTGGGCCTATTTTTTATGATTGGTTCCAGGATGTTAGAACACGTACAAAAACCTGAAGAACACCACGATGGTGTTCGTCAGGTCTCTTTACGTTTTCGATGGAAGCACTCACAGAGCGTCTTAATTGACGCTGTCTGTCTCGTCCCATCAGTTCGTGACGTCAGCAGCGTCTGGACTTGAGGCAACGTTATTAGATTAGCTCAGTTACGGAACTGCTTATAGACGCCGCATGCGCGAACAGT